GCCATTATGTGGACAAAGAAAGCAGAACTTTAAGATGTGAATGGTGTGGAACACAAAGAACCAAAGACAACTCCTTGTAACAAGGGGCACTTTTTATTTCACAGAGAATTTGCAACTTGGTTTACTATTCTTAAAATGACAAGTAATATTTTTGTTAGTGTATTATCACCCAAAATTATTTTTTTTCTACTACTGGAAATATTTTCTACTTTCTTAGAAAAAATTTCCGTTATCTTACTAGCAGCCTCATTTTCCACCACTATTCATCAAACATTCTCTGTTTTCTCCTTCCAGTTATTTTCAGAAGGTTTTTTTTGAAGCACTTTGATTTACTGTTTTTTCCATTTTCTAATTCACAGAGCATTTGAGGTCTGTATAACACATCACATCTTCCTTGAATTTTAAGAAACTCTACCTTATGGCTAGCCACTCTACTTCTGTGACCTCCACATGCCTCTAGAAACGTGGTAAAAACTCCAAGAAATATTTGAGTGAACTGCACTGCTTAAGGAAAATACAGAACACTAAAGGCCACCTTTGTAAGGAGTTCTCCATCTTGGGGAACTCAAGTACAGTAAAGGCTTGTGGGATATGCAAAGTCCCGGAGTTCTATCCCCAGTACTGCAAAAGGGAAAAGGTTTTTGTAAAGGCAGGGAGGGGGTTGAGTTTCCAGTTGGATGATGGAGAGAGAGCTGTGCCCATCCTCCCTTTGCCTGCTGGCAGAGTTATCTTTGCCTCTTCTGCCCGTTGCTACTGAAGAAAAGCATAGCAAAATGACAAAGATGCCAACCGCCAAACAATTTTTTAGATTTATAGAAATTCTGGTGACTTTCAGATAACATCAGAGTGTGTAGCCCTACTTGTTCTTATAAATCTCTGCATCAATCAGCACAAAGCATACAAATTGCTGTGAAGGCTAACGTGTGTTTGTAACTAGCCCCAGGAGGTCAAGGTTGATTGCTATGTTCTTGCCAGAAGGGGAAGGGGAATGGGCACAGAGCTTCCTGCCCACTGTACCACTGCATAAGCCAGACTTTCGCTCCATATAAACACCCTTCTTGTAACCCAGTTCTCTGAGATAAAACTTTGCCACTAATAGCCCTCTCCAGCTTCTCAGGACCAATCTTTGAATAAACTCGACCTCTGATCTGCTAGGTACTGGATGAGTGGTAAGCAGGCAGGGTGGACTTGGGTTTGGAAACAAGAATTGGCAAAACTGGGCTGGGGATGCAGGCAGCTCAGTGGTACAGTGCTAAGTGTACCCAGCTCTGGCTATGTACATTTCCCCTTCACTTAGTGGTCAGTTCACAGACTGAACAACATAACAATTTGGTATAACTAGTAACTTGTTCTGAAACATATTTGTTACTTTCAAGGACCCCCCAAATTCACTATTTCAAGCACAACTTCAACTTACTTCAAGCACATTCCAATTTGAAGGAGAGAGAGAGAGAGGAGAGAGAGAGAGAGAGAGAGAGAGAGAGAGAGAGAGAGAGAGAGAGAGAGAGAGAGAGAGAGAGAGAGAGAGAGTGAGTTGGTTTTCATACCCAAACTGAGTTCCAGTCCCTGGGTACAGTCTGTATATCTCTGGGCATCAACCTTTTCAACCTCAAAATAGCGTTCAGACCACTGATGCCCATGTGGTTTTAATCCAGCACAGTGACACTTGATTTGAACAAGCTGGTATAAATAAAACTTGAACTTTTGCTTCCCTCTACTCTTGGGAAGGATGAATTGCCAAGAAGCCACTCACAGATGATGTTGCAGTTAAGTTTAGAGATGAATATGTATCGGTATTTTATTGAGTTACTGGAGAGTAATTCCTTCAGTCATGCTCACAGAAAAAGAATTAGCTATGTGGGGTTAAACCTTTTAATGCAACTTCAGCCAATCACAATAGTAACACTAACTACTTCAGGAAATAATCATAAGGAAGTATACTAAATATGTTTACAGGTAGATTGTCCACTAACTTCCTCCCACTAAAGAAATAGAGAAACGAGGTGTTTTTTGTTTTTTTCTTTTTTTGAGGAGGTACTTGCTACATCTACCATAACTATTGAATTTCTTCAATACTCTGATTTCCCTTTTCTCTCCATTGTACTTAGTGTCATGCAAGACTCTATCCATTCTGGCTAAGGATACTGGAAGAGTGAAGAATTGAGTCTGAAATTTGCATCAGTCCCCTGAACAGTATAACCTTAGTCAGCATAAGCTCCTCATCCAGGTAAGGGGGACTCTTTGTTCGGTTTTAGCTTAAAGGTTAACTCTTAATGTCTGGAAGGATGAAAGTGTCTGAACTGTGAAATCTGATCGTTAAGTAAGGTAGTAGGCAGAGCAAGTGTTTAACTAGCCATGCGTAACTGCTAGAGTCGTGGAGTTTTCCTACTTGTCATATCAGCAGACCCGGTGTGTACCCACACATTCACCTGAGGGGAATGCACTCTTGGAGACATTTTCTTGGAAGCAATTCTGTAAGAGCTCAGTTTTATCTGACTTCTCAAGTTTAATGATGTTTTACAAATGTTCGAAACTTTTTCTGGTAGCTTTATAATCCAAGGCTTATTACTGAAGAGGACAAAAATTTGGGAAGCCAAAGAGAGGGAACTAGTTGTCATTTGTTTCTGTAGCGACTCAACATCATTGTCCGATCGTTCTCAATATTCTCTTGCCCTCCTTTTGCTAGGGAATATCTGCTATGGATATTCATGGAGGCACCATTGCCTCTGCTGCTTTTAGCCTCTGAGGCAGAAGCTACTGCTTTTCACAAAAGAAACTTTGTCCCTTAAAAGACACGTTGGCCCTTCTGTACAATCAAATTCTCCTTTCAACAGGGGATTTTTCTTAAGAAATGAACTGGTTCACTTCAGTCTCTATCTGTCTGATTCTAAAAGCAGCAATGTTATGCAAACGAGGCTTGCATATTTAAGACTATCTACAACTGCAGTCCGTGTAAATCACCAGCTATAGAGGCACTCTGAAACATATGGTGCAATTTCTAAATAAAAACTGTAAAGAAATAAAACGGGGAAGACAGTGCTACACCTTAATTAAGGGTCGAAGTATTTGAATGCAGACAAACTGCTCAGTGTTTAACTGTTTCAAAATTATAATGTATTAGGAAATAATTCTCATTTTTATAAAATCTGACATATAATTTTAATGCAATCCAAGATACAGAAAATAATGAGAACATGATTCTGAAGAGGGGTAGAGAATACAAAAATCCCAAGAGGCAGAAGTCAGAATATGGGAAAATGTTTTAAAGTTTATCATCAAAAGAGAGAAGGTGATTAAAAAAAGAAACTCTGCTGTACAACATAAAAGCCCACAGAATGTAGCACTTCACAAGTTAATAGTGAGGACAACAGAGAAATGGTACATTCTAAAGAGAAATCACATTCCTTAAAAAGAAAAAAATTTGCTATGATAATGGCAATTCTGGAAGACAGAAATCATGATTCTTATTTGACCAGAACTAGTAACTTTTCTGTTACTATCATCTGAAAAAATGTAAATAAGGAGAAAAATAAACCTCTGCAGCAAGAAAGACTTAAAAAATAAGATGTAAAAAGGTAAAAACAAGCCAGGCAGTGGTGGCACACACCTTTACTTCCAGCACTTGGGAGGCAGAGGCCAGATTGTGAGTTTGAGGCCAGATTGGTCTACAGAGTGAGGTCCAGTACAGCCAGGGCCGTATAGAGAAACCCGGTCTCAAAAAAAAAAAAAAGTAAAAACCAGCTGGTCTGTGGTGGTGGAGCATGTCTTTAATCCTATCACTTGGGAGACAGAGACCTGGGGGAATTCTAGTTCAGTCAAGGCTACCCAGAGAAATCCTGTCTTGAAAACAAAACCAAAAAGTAAAAGCCAGGGCTGGGGAGATGACTCAGTGGTTAAGAGCACTGGCTGCTCTTTGAGTGAGTCTTGGCAGCCATAGTGATCCACAACCATCTGTAACTCCAGTCCCAGGGGAAGTCAAGACTCTTTTCGGGACCCTGCAGGCATTGCATGCACATAGTGCATGGACACATATGCAGGTAAAACGCCCATGCACATAAATAAAAATGAAAGCTTTTAAAAAGTAAAAACCACATTTGCACTTACACTGGGTTGAAAACACTATATCCTCTAAATAAAGAAACAAATCCTGAAAAACACATATACTAGGTGACAGAGGAGGACGCATTAGGGTACTCTAGCCACCAAGAATACCAAGTATAGTTTTGACACATAATTTAATTTACTGAAGTATGAGAGTTTAGCGCTATTTGGAATGAGAGATTACTGATAATCTCGTAATGACCACTGGAGTTGACCCTTGGTCTTAATGTTTTTCTTCTGTTTAATTCCTTCAGGACCTTGTCTGAGTTTTGTTCATTTGGAATTGGGTTGACTTCTGGATTATGAGAAAAGAACCTTCTAGTAGTACTATAGAAAAATGTTTTAAATTAGCCATAAATATACTCAGAAATGATATGTAATTAATGTAATCAAAAACTAGTTTTTATTTATTGGTTTTAAAATAAGAGCTTTAATATAAAAACTTGCAAGTAAAACTATTTTATTAATTTTAAGTTGTCATATAAAGTGATGGGTTTTACCTGTCTGCTAATGTGGCCACATCTGTAGCACTGTCCTCTCATCAGCATGCATTAATTAGTATGTGGATTTGGCTTTCTAGGCAAAACCTATCACAAGTTACATATTGCTTCATAATTAGAACTACAAATTCCTCTAATGAATGAATGATAAATCTCAGGCATTTTTAATGATTTGTATCAACTTTGTTTTCTAGACGAAGGCATTTCCCATCACTTTAAATCCTGTTGCTTCTACTTCAACTGGACCACTGTGACAACTAGAAAAGGTGAGACACCATCTGGATTTTCCAGCTTCATCCAGTACATTTTGCCGCTTTACCAAAAAGCATAAAAAGAGACTTAACTTAAATACCACATATAGTTTTAATATTAAGTATATGTAATTCTGTTCTAGCTCCTGTGACAAGAAAATTCAAGAAAATCTGATCTAAATGAATAACATCTCGACATGCATTCAACCATCCATGATTTCTACCACAGCTTTACCGATCATTTACATCTTTTTGTGTGTCATTGGTCTCTTTGGGAACTCACTTGCTCAGTGGGTATTTTTAACAAAAATAGGTAAGAAAACATCAACGCATGTCTACCTGGCAAACCTTGTGACTGCAAACTTACTTGTGTGCACTGCCATGCCTTTCATGGGAATCTACTTCATGAAGGGATTCTATTGGAAATATCAATCTGTACAATGCAGACTGGTCAATTTTTTGGGAACCCTATCCATGCATGTAAGTATGTTTGTCAGCCTCTTAATTTTAAGCTGGATTGCCATAAGCCGTTATGCTACCTTAATGAAAAAGGAATCCTCACAAGAGGCCACCTCATGCTATGAGAGAATGTTCTATGGTCACTTACTAAAAAGATTTCGCCAGCCCAACTTTGCCAGAAAAATGTGTACATATATATGGGGAGTTGTGTTGGTCATAATTATTCCTGTTACTCTATACTACTCAGTTGTAGAGACCACAGAAGAAGGAGAAAGTCAGTGCTACAATCAGCAGATGGAATTGGGAGCCAGCATCTCTCAGATTGCAGGTCTCATTGGAACCACATTTATTGGATTATCATTTTTAGTCGTAGTAACATCATACTATTCTTTTGTCAGCCATCTGAGAAGAGTGAGAACCTGTACCTCCATTATAGAGAGAGATTTGACCTACAGATCTGTGAAAAGGCACCTTTTGATCATCCAGGTCCTCTTAGTAGTTTGCTTTCTTCCATATAGTATTTTTAAGCCCATTTTTTATGCTCTGCACCAGCGAACAGACTGTCAGCAGCTGAATTATTTAATAGAAGCCAAAAATATCCTCACTTGTCTTGCGTCAGCCAGAAGTAGTACAGATCCCATTATATTTCTTTTATTAGATAAAACATTCAAGAAGACACTATATAATCTCCTTAAAAAATCTTAATTCACCACATATACTACTGTATGGTTGACTTTTGGATGGAAACCACCACAAAAGAGGAAAGCATTTGTGTGACTCTATTAGTGACATTAGTTAAATGATGAAAATGTCGCAGCTGGGTTGACAATGGACACCAAGGAAATCTCTTTGGGTTTTATAAACAAATATAGGCATAAAATTGGACTTACAGTTCTACGTATGCTGAAAGTCGAGATGGCAGAGACTTTCAGAAGCAAGTCAAGTATACCAACAGGATCCCACTGTGTATGCAATCAAACAAACCTTTTTTTGGGGGGAGTTTCAGTCAACTATGGATCTTCTGTTTAATACACAAATTTTATGACTCGAAAGATGAAGAAGCAATAGGCTTATGGGTTTGCCTGCTTCTAACCTAACACAAGAACCCATCTATGATTAAATTTTATTTTGTTGGGAACTCAAAAAAAAAAAAAAGAATTAGGAATGTAAGTACTGGAAAAGTCAAACAGTAAGAAATATCTTCATTTAAGTCTTATCTAACTGCATGAATAATGCACTGTAAAGTACATTTGGCATAATCTGGCTCATTTTAATGGGAAAGGCAATAATCAATGATTCTCATATCTAATAGCTAGATTTCACTTAAAATAGTTATTAATGACAGTACCTGCCATATAGTTATGTTTAATTAATCTTTGTAAACTAAATGAATGAATGGTGAAGAAGTGTAATCATGTTACAGAAAAGACTGGCCTATGGATTTAAACTCTGTGGGTTCAGTATTGGCTCCATCTCTTATTTAGCTGGACAATCTTTATGTATTAATTTCTCTAATTGTGGAACAGAAAATATGGACAGATTCATATCATTACTATTAAATTAGATACTGTTATATTGTGAGTGAGCAGTTAGTACTTGCTGTGTGTTAGATCCTGTGTGTACATATGAGTATAAATTTAATCATCACAGCAATAAAGCATGTTAATGTACGTACCGATGAAAAAACCCAGATGCATAGTTAAGTGGTCATCTCAATTCTCCCAGCATATCAGTATCTTTAACAAGTAATTATTTCTTAGTGATAATTTCTTTCAAGTAATCTCACCGGCAAGAAAAAACAGTGATTATATTCTGTATTATATACATTATGATTAAAAAGCAAAAATAAAAACCGTGTTCCCCAAATTATCGCAAGTTCCTTTGGAACTATAATCTATCTTCTTCTTTTATAAACTTCCATTCTCTTCTCACACAGAAACAAAAGAGTTGAGTAAAGTCAGTCATTAACCACAATTTATCACCGTGTCAGAAACTTCGTAAAGACTCAGGTTTGCTCTTCCACTTCATCATCACTTGGGTGTTCAGAAAGAAGTTCACATTAAGTCCAAGTCTTTAATTTCAAGGCAGGTTTTATTCCTGAACTACAAGTGTAGACCAGATTTTCTAAGAACTATGTGCTCAAAATTAGTAGACATTTTGTGTAATTTTCATAAAAAATCCAATACAGAAACATAACCAGTATAATACTTGTTTTTATTTCTTTCCTTAACTGAGAGATGAAAATATCCAAAGTTGGAACCCATTCTGGCATCAGGTATTAACAGTGTATATCCTGAGTATGTGTTTGCTTGTTTGCTTGTGTGTGTGTGTGTGTGTGTGTGTGTGTGTGTGTGTGTGTGTGTGTTGGGGCATGTGCTTGGGTGTGGCGATTATCGACTTCAGGCCCTACCCTTCAGGAGCCATCCATGTTAATTTTGAGAGAGGGTCTCTCTCTCTCTCTCACTGGGACCTGGGGCTTGCATATTATGTGAGGTTGGCTGGTCAGCAAGCACCAGGTATGTGCCTGTCTCCCCAACACTGGATTATAATTATGTGTACTAAGCCTATCCTAGTGACACTTTGGTGCTGGCCACTGAATTCAAGTCTTTGTGCTTGTGTGGCAAGTACTTCACCAACTGACTTATCTCCCAAGCCTGTTCACCTATTCTTTCACAGTACTGATTGAATTCTCCTTTGTCTCAGTAACATGCAGAGACAAAGGAGAATTACAAATTCCTGGTGACCTCCTTGTGTGCAGGCTGAAAACTGAGGTATCTAATGTAGTGACTTTGTAGACATGCAAATCGAAGAATAACTCAGAGTCCATTGGAGACTGCCTGAGATGCTCAGATTTCTTCAGTTACAACACATTATCCCTACATGAGATTTAAACCCCAAACTCGTTAGACTAAGAGGAACTGAAACGATTATAATTTTTATGGAAACTATACCATATTAATTCACTGCACTAAGAGTTTAAAACACATGTAAAACTTTAAAAAGTCATTATTTAAAAATCACTTGAAAGGGCTAGAGAAATGGTTCATCTGTTAAAAGTACGGGCTTCTTTTCCAGAGGACCTGGGTTTGATTCCCAGCATGCATATTGTGGCCCACAACTGTAACTCTAGTTCCAGGGAATCTAATGATACCATATTTACATGGTACGTAGACATACACACAGGAAAAACACCTATACTCATAAAATAATAAAATAATTTGAAAAATCACTTTACAGGCCAGGTGTGGTAGTGCAAGCCTTTAATCACAGCACTTGAGAGGCAGAGGCAGGTGGATCTCTATGAGTTCCAGGCCAGCTAGGCCTACATAGTGAGTCCTTGTTACAGTTCTATTTGCTATGTTAAAGATAAATGATATTACCAAACTAGAATTACTTATATTTAAAAATGACATGTAAAGAGGTATGTGGTATGTGGTCTCTCTTCAAATTGCTCATTCTGACAGAAAATGGAAGCTGTATTAAATTATATGCTGAGTTTATTCTCAACATATTGGTCTTTGCATGATTTCCTAAACAGGTGACTAGCATGTTGAATTTCTTATTTCTTAGTAGTTGAAGAATTGGTTATTTAATATCATAGAAAAATATTTTATACAAAGTATCACTTTCTAAATCTACCCTAATTTTACCACTTGTAGTTTAGAAATCTCCAACGATACTTTAACTATAGAAAACAGGCACGATTCCTCTTTTCTTCCTCCCTCATATACAGTCTCCTTAGGCAACTGGGAAATTATAAACTAGGAATTCAAACTATTACCTCTGGACAGACAAAATTCAGGACGCACTATTTAATGTGAAGCAAGTCAGCCCTTCCTGGGTAGGAGAGGAAGGTGACCCATGGTTCTGATTTGGTGAGGACTTCCTGGTCTTGCAGTCTGTCTGGGTGGGAGCTATGATGGATAAGTGGGTGAAAGGAAAGCTTGCAGACAGACCACAAAGGGAGCACTGGTGACTTGCTGAACATTTTGATCATGTAGCCCAAAGCTGGGGGTTGCCATGTGATAGCCCTCTGCCCCACTGATCCCATTTCAAAAAGTTACTGCAGACAGAAAAGTTTTGTAACTGATATTAAAACCTCTCTGGCTATATGACATACATCTCCCCAGGCTCAGGTAGTGGAAGGAGCTACTTCTAGTAAGCAAAAGAAATATTTATCCTTTAAGAACTTGTGGGGCCATTTTTCAAATTCCAATGACTAAGAGCTTATAATCAATCAAAACGTGCACAAGATGCTCAAGGACCTTTAAGAGCAATGCCCAAGTACTAATTACCAGTGTGCTTCTTACATTAAGGACAGAAAGGGAGTGGATCTGCATGGGAGGAGGTGGGGAGGAACTGGGAGGAGTAGGGAGAGGGGAAACTGCAATCGAGACATATTGTATGAAAAAAAACCTATGTTCAATTGAAAAGAATAAAAGAGTGAATTGGTTTTAGTGAGAATCAATTCTCTAACACGGAATATAACACAGGGACGGTTGGAGTTATGGCAGGTAGCTGCTGTAAAAGAAATGCCAGTGAGTGAGCACAAGAGGAAGGGATATGTCAAGAAATCAGCACTGCTACAGCAACCGCTGTTTATTGTAAATGCGGAGAAGGCCCATTTATGATAAAGTCAGGCACTCAGCAGGTGAAAGGGGAACCGAGAGCAGAAGAGGACCAAAGAGCAGTCAGGCGTGCTGACACAGGCTGCAAAGGAAACCGCCGAGGAAACACAACTAGGAACACTGAGGCAGGCCGGGGGCCTTAGGCTGAGTGTATGCGCAACTGAGGCTAGCAGTTTTGAGAACTAAAAATTGAGCTCCCAAACTTCCTTGGCCAGGTCCCACTCAGAATGGAGAGCGGTTGTGCTAGGCAAGCAGTTTGCATGCTCAACAGCTGCTTTTCTCCGACTTCAATTCCTGCAGATGTACCAGAGTAAAAGAGACAGACAGCTGAAGAATGCAGGGTCTCTGCAAACCCAGACAATGCCTTGGGACTCAGGGGAGCTGAGAGCATTGGGCCAGCTCTCCCAGAGTCAGTCAAGGAGCCAGGAAATGCTCTGACCTTGACAACAGTCTGATTTCCCTTCAATGTACTTCAAATTTAGGGGTGAGAGGACAAAAGGGGGGATATCATTGAATCAAAATGGAACTTTCCTCGACCTTTCACAAGATACAGAATTAAAGGGAAGAAGATGGCAAGAGCATGAATGCCTCCGTGTCCACAAGGAGGCAAACCATAAGCAATATAATATTACAACAATGGGCTTAACTGGGGGCAGTTTTATGCCTCAGGTGACGTTTTTGGTTGCCACAGCCTGGAGGGCTGGAGACGTTACTGGCATTTAATGGGCAAAGGTCAGGGTACTGCTTAAACATATTGCAATATCCTAGACAGCTTCCCACACCAATCTCACTAGTATGACCGCTGGGAGATCCTTCATGGTCATGATATGGCTCCTTAAACTTCAAAGAAAAACATTTTCTTGAGAAAAATACAATTCTCCAAAGCAAGCAGCTTCCACTATGGTTATGTGGTATTATATGCTCAAATCTAACCAAAACACCTCTTTTCAACTTAATTATGATTTCAAAAGGAAACAACCACTAAACAGATGAAAAAGTACCATTAATTGATATAAAATCTACTGCTTTTAGATCATCTGGTAAGGCAGGGAGGGGGAAGGAGAAAGGGAGGGAGGGAGGGAAGGAGGGAGGGAGGGAGGGAGGGAGGGAAAATGAGAATATACGATTGATAGCTAGATGAAACAAATTAAATCTAAATTTCCCTCATGGAAGTGAAATATTATCATGGTCTTTATTTTCTTCATTAACTAAAAAGGATGTAAACAAATAAAATCTTTTAAGTATAGAAACCAAAATTTACATATATGAAGTAAATATACATATAGACAAGTGTCTAACTTGGGTGAAAAAACATCCTGGATAGGCTGTTTCAGTGGTAAAATATTAACATAATAAACCAAGTGAAAATGCAAATCATTAGTTGTGTGAAATATACTGGTATTGTACGTGAGAGGGCACAGCTGCAGGATGTCCCGATCTATGGATGTCCTGAGACCGAACAGGGACGAAGGTTTTACAGTGACCAGCAGGCAGAATCACCCACTAGAACAGGCACCTGAATCTCACTAAGTGTAGGTAAGTTACTAAAGTATTAGGAAATTCTGTTGACACAACCTTCAGAGATCAGCTGCTTATCTAACTGCTCGCTCTTTCTTTTCTGTTCTTTTTGGCCACCTGCAATGTTCCTCCTCTGCTCTTGGCTAAGCACAGTCATTTCCAGTCTCAATTAACTCATTCTGAGTTTTGATCACTCTGTCTGGGCCATAGTGACTTCCATGCCTCTTGTCCAAGCAAGCCACCTGTGTTCATGTCTCGGTACTAGGAGGATAACTTTTCTTTACTCTTAGGTATCGACTCAGCATACTCCCTCTAGTTTCTTCAAGTCTTTGCTTGGGTGCCATGTCATCTCAATGCGCTTGCTTGGAAAACTCTATTTAAGCCTCTAGCTCCTTCTTCTACGTCCCCCTTCCTTCCTCCCCCCCCCCCTCTCTTCAGGGCTTCTCGGGATAGTCCTGGCTGTCCTGGAACATGCTCTGTAGATTAGGCTGGACTCAAACACACAGAGATCTGCCTGTTTCTGTATCCTGCATGCCTCTCAGTGACTTGCTATCTGTCTCCCTGTATTAGAATGTCAGCTCCATGAGGGCTGTGACTATCTTGTTCACTGGTATAGCTCCAGGTCCTAGGACAGTGTCTGCCACATAGGTACTCAAAAAGTATCTTTTGGATGAATATCTTAAAAAAAAGATTTATTTATTTATTATGAATACAACATCTTGCCTCATGTATGTCTGCACACCAGAAGAGGGCACCAGGTCTCATTATGGATGGCTGTGAGCCACCATGTGGTTGCTGGGAATTGAACTCAGGACCTCTGGAAGAGCAGTCAGTGCTCTTAACCTCTGAGCCATCTCTCCAGCCCTTGGATGAATATCTTAAGAAAATATGCCCAATTCAACAATATCAATTAAGCAAATTGAATATTTCATTCACTCATGCAAAATGTCCATATTTTAGGTACCATTATACCTGAGTATAAAGGCCATGAACACTACTGCAAGCACTCTGTTGGGTCTCCCTGGCAACTGAAATACAGTGCTTTTACCTAGTCATTTCTTAATTTGCAGTCTGAGAATTACTTCTCTGTTTCTTTCTTCAGTGGGTTTCTAAATGCTTCCTAAAAATAAGGGTATTATGTATCTATTGGGTTTAGTGTGAACTTTTCATAATGACAGTACCGATGTCAATTTCCCACATCTGAAAAGAATGAACAATAAGATATTGTGTAATTAATTTGCATTAATGGGTATTTTGTACATTTTACAGTGATTGTCATTTGCTATATTACACTTACTTAGATGGTTTTAGACTTGCTCATGAGGGTTCTCAGCTTTTAGCTACCAGATTTGCCATTACTAAATTCTACCTAATTTCCTTAACCATTCAAAATATGTCAAAGAGTAAGTAAGGCCTTGAAAAAATATGCCTAGGAGGAAAGAACATCACCTCTGTGCATGCCAGGGCCAGCACAGTTAAGCATGAAAGCATAGCCTTGGGACTAAAGAGACCTCAGAGACTCTCTGGTAGAAGGACTTAGAAGGGATGAGTGAGAAGCCCACTGGGATCCTTTATGGCCTCCTTCTATGTTTTCTGACACTGATGGCAGGGACTGAGATTTCTCATTAACTCAATACAAGAATGGAACAAGAAAAAAGAACCACAATCCACTGATATTCTAATGTCCATTCTATCTAGAATTGTGACTTCTTGCTATGTTTAAAACTAGCTGCACCAGAAAGGGGAGTGGGTGAGCATGGGCAGCAGCAGGAGGTAAAGTGAAGAGCAGCGGGATGCACCAATGCTCAGCATTTCCTTCATCATTCCCTTGCCCCCTGGGTCCAAGTCCCTAGAGCCATAGCTCCCGAGATTTTCTCAGTCCTGGCTCACAGACTATCCTTGGCTGTGGTATTCCAAGGGTACCAGCCTTATGTTTTACTGCTGGCATTAAAAAGACTCTTGAGGATAAAGGAGCATCATCTTCCCCAAATAGGACATGGTAAGCTTTCATGAGGGATCTGCAATTATAAGAAACTCTTGCTCCTGAGCCACCGTGTGTCTACTGAACAGACGGCATGATGCCAACATCAGAAATACCACAAGTCAGAAATGACATCAGAAAAAGTTAGATGGGAGCTGAGGGGAGAGAATGGGAGGAGAGTAGAGGAAACTATGTAAAATAAATGAAAAATTAATTAAATTAAATAAAAAATCAAAGAAAATAGGTTACTATAAATTAATAGTAGGCCAAATGAGAAGTCTTACTACTGCCAATTTTTTTCATAATTAGATGAACAGAGAAAGAAGATACTTGTAATGTCAGCATTATGAATGGGGAAATCTTCGAAGGTCATAGGAACATTCTGGCTGTAGGCATCCCTCTATTTAAGACTTTAAATGCATTGTAATTTAAGCACATTTGTAAAGAAAGCCCTAACCAGAACAAGACTGCCTATTTTGATGTCACTGTAAGTCAAAGCTGTTTTAGTTATCTTGGACTTCTTGTACTCTAATAAGGTACACACTGGATGGCACTTAAAGTGTTGTGAACACTGTAGGGTCAAAGCTTTATAGCAAACTACCACGGGGGCTGGATTACATAGAGTCCTCACATAAGCAGATAGTTACTAAAGTAAACTATGTTTTATTTTTAGGATATAAGGTAACTACTTGAGTCCTATCAAAATATAGCAGTTGTCCTTTATAGAACTTTCATCCATGGGCCACTTTAACATGAAATGTTAAAATGGCACCCACTTGTGGAAGTACAGTGACAGTTGACCCAATCCCCCTGTTCATCAAGCTACTCAGGCTAGTTTGTACTACTAGAGTTTTGATGCTATTTCATTTTAAAATTTTATTATTTTAATATGGACTTTTAGTGAGGATTTTTCAGCCCCACTAGTTCTATCTTCTTTAATATGATTCATAACCTACACTAAGTCTCTTCTAGTCGTAGGTACTATTTTTAGTTATTTTGTGCTGATAGGTGTGTTTGTAAGAAGCCATTATTGGAATGAATTGGCTTCTTTCATCATTCCTTTCTTTTTTGAGACTGATTTTTACTACTTAACAAATAACAACAATGCTGCAAAGTAATGGAGGTCAAGTTAGCAAAGACCACGAAGATGACTCTGATTCCAAGGCAACGCTCCCCTTTGGCTCTAACCTGATAAATAGTTTTTGGTTTCTGGTATCTGTTACTTTGGCACTATTCTTGTCTCCAATTATTTTTTTCAGTTTACAACACTTTAGCTTTACTAAACAGACAGAAATTTGGTTGCAGAAAAGTTTTAGAAAAACAAATGATAAATTTAAGAATATAGTTAATTTTTAAAAAATAGCTTTCTTTTCCTTATTTATTGCCTTTGTGATTTCTTTTCTCTCATGGCAAAAGAGGAAAAACATTAGATTGCATGTATCTTTTAGGAAAAAACCTAAGGAAATTGAAATCATACTGTTCCTGATAAGGATTAGTACAATGACTCTGAATACAAAATAACTGATTCTTATTTGCAAGTAAAATTTAAGATGCTCTCTATATTAAAGAAAAATTCCTGGTTATTATTATTATCACCTAGTAGTTTCCCTTTATAAACATTATAGTTAGTGACAAGAAATACTTACCTTCACATCCCTGTGAATTATGTTATTATCATGACAGTAGCGCAGAGCTTCCAGGATCTGTCTCATGTAATGGCTGCAAAATACAAGAGAAATCTAAAACTGTAAAAACTTTCATGGTTAAAAATTAATACAAAGTGCCTCTACTTTATAATTCCCACATTTACATTAGCTGGGCACAAACATCTTTCATTTGGGCAAACAAGACAGTGACTTAATAAAAAAAGTTGACAAACTTATGTGCTTCTTCAAGAAACAGAATTTTTTTTTTGAGCTAAGTCAAAATAATTCCACATAATCAATAAACAGCATAAACACGCCAAAGAGACAAATCTAAAATATGAAAAAATCCTCTAATATCTTGGCTACCTCTATTTAGCTAAACTGGATTGCTATGAAGGAAACTGCTCGATGCTATCGGAATGGTTCTGACAAAAGGGGTTGTGGTCTTCAGTCAGCTACTCAAAGCAGCTCTCTGTCTTGTGACCACTTAGCCATGAGGAGAATCTAAAAACCTGTACACATGTGATTGCTCTTTGTAAGTTAGTCAGGCTTTAGCTGAAGGTGCTCTTGAATGAAGCAAGGCTATTTCTAGACAGCTGGGGTCTGCAGAGGCTTCCACTGTGTACAGGCAAAGAACAAAGGAAGAATTAATGTTTTTTTCAAGTTATAACAGGGTCAACTATGACTGAGGATGACAAGAGTATAAATGTTCCTGCAGTTATTATAGGTTTACATCTAGATGAAACTATCTGAAGCTGAAAATATGGTAAGTTGAAAATGCATTAAACACACCCCCAACCTATTACCAAACATTAGAGTTTAAGCTTAGTTTGCCTTAAGTATGCTCAAAACACTAACATTAGCAACGTTACCCTGCATAGCACTACTCCAGGAAAACCTAAAGTGTAGTTTCTACTGACTGCACATCCTTTTTATACCATCATAAAGTACAACATTTGGAAGTCAAACTAAGGCAAGATAGGGATGCCCCCCCCTTATCTCAAGCAACCACTGTATAGAAGTGCTTTATTTCAACATTTTATTGTACAGTGTTTATTAAACTTAACTGTGCTTTCAGATAGTATATTTCTGACATTAAAGTAAAACAAAACACTTTAAATTAGAGCACTCACAAAAGACCTTACAGGTATGTTTATGACTTAGGACAAAAAGCTTTCCTGTTTTATAACTGAAAGATTTCTATCAAGTTCTTCTTTGGTACACTATCGTCTAACATGCTCATACAAATAACTATTTTATGTATTATAATAGATTGTAAATTTCCCTTTTAAAAAATGAGAGGTAGAGGAGAAAAACAACCCGAGCTTTAAAGTAGACCAGGCTTTTATCCTGTAGGGGTCATCTCTCCACACCTGGGCCCTAAGCAGTTCTTAGTGTGATGCTCTGCTGAGAATAGACATGTAAGGGCTTTGTTTGGACCAGTGTAGCCTACAGTTAAGTTTTGTTTAAGTCAGGAGGACTTAACTTACGGTGGAGAACTTTTACTCATTCACGGTAGACCTTGGAGGACTTATGATTCCCTGAAAATGGCTAACAACAAATGTCAAGGTGGTTTGAACCTTGCAGTAAAATCATTATTATTATAGTTATTAGGAAAATAGATCAGTCTGATTTTAAGAGCTGGAGTTGACAACCTGATGTTAGCCTGTTCCACAACTCATTAGCACGGAAAGGACAGAGGCTGTCACTAACTAATTGTGCTATAATGTACTAAATAAGCACTACACAGATCTGTGCTTTGTGCCATGTTTGCCACTCTGCTTGAAACTCAGTCAGTTAGAGAACAGCTCTGGTCATTTGATTATTTGAGACTCTAGGTCTTGCAGCAGCTGGATTCACTAGATTACCCATACAAGCTGAATTTCCTAATAGAAAATCACTGAACCAGAGAGAAGAAAGTGAGAAGTCACTTGGCCAAACACTGCACAGCATGAGAAGACTCTCTATACCCTGTTATTGATGTGGCATAAAAGGGAACACAGCTAATGATGCCACCCGAGTCTCCCTGCTTCCTTTTTCATTGTTAGGGAAGAAGAGACTTCAAGAAGGTGTGTCCACACATTGCTGAGCAATGCTGGTCCCACTGCTGTTCTTTTCTGCTCCATTCTCAAGGGTTCCTTTCATAAAACCATCATTTAACAGCAAATCTAAGCGGGTTTTAAAAATCAATAAGCTTTCATCCTGATATATACACAAACAGATTCCTTTTCTGTAAAGTCTCAACATTGCGGGAGCCCAGAAGTCATTTAGCTGCATAGCATCACTTCTGCATGCCTACGCCAAGACCCCGAGCAACTGGAGAGCCAGGACTGAAGGTGAAGGAAAACTAAGGAATGTTACCAAAAACTGAAGATGAGAGGAAAAGCAGTGGCCACCATGCATGCCAGGTGCTCCAGTGTGGCCGTGCTTCAAAAGGAAAAAAAAAGTCACCTCCTTTCATTGAGAAAAAGTTCAAACAATGAAAATTCTGAAATTTTGATTTTGCTTACTTCATGTTGTTCTTATTAAATGAACAAAAGACCACGATAGGGAATAGGGTAGAGGACTTGACCAGCATGGCATGCAAGAGGTCCTAGGCCAGGTCAATGCTTGGTGACAAAAAATATATATAAAAGTTTCCTTGAATTCTTTAAGAAATGTGTGCATGTGTGTGTGTGTGTGTGTGTGTGTGTGTGTGCAAAGTCTGAGAGTTCCCTTTACTTTAATAAGGTGTTTCACAACAATGCCACAAGAAAAATCAAGATAACACTGAGTGCAGCATTAGAACATGCTTGTTACTTTGGAAGCACAACAATTTAAAAACTGTGATATAAAGCCGGGTGTTGGTGGCACATGCCTTTAATCCCAGCACTCGGGAGGCAGAGGCAGACGAATCTCTGTGAGTTTGAGGCCAGTCTGGTCTACAGAGCGAGTTCCAGGACAGCCTCCAAAAACAATACAGAGAAACCCTGACTCAAAAAAAACCCCAAAATTGTGATATAAGCTCAAAAACAGAAGAATGGGACTTAAAAACACCTAGAATGTGCTTTAGTGAGCATGATACACATGACAAGAGGATATTTAGCTTCCATTCTACTATATGTCAGTGACACTACTAAATACTATAGTTAATATATTAAGTCTTCATTTGATTTTTCCCCAGCTCCAGGAGTCCAAAAACATCAGCTATTTCACACTGAGCATATTATTATTCTGTGCTCAAGTCCCACCCACTTCATCCTCTGCACTGGAACCTCTTGCTCCTCAGTCAGCCTACATGGGGCTAGAAGTTGTATTAAGGTAGTTACATAGTTGTTTCTAACTATTTCTTTCTAGGATACTATAAAAGAATGACAGGAAAGTTAGAATCACTTATGAAACAGTTTAATCAATCCTTTCACCATATTGTGGCCAGTGACTGAGGAGGAAGGCTCTATCTCAGGTTATCAAATCAGTAACGTGCCAGTGCATAATTATGCTGTGACTGAATCCAACCAAAGCAGAAAGCTGTATTGCTTTAAGTCTATAAGCTAGTGGTGTAGTGCATGCGTGGCTACTATAAGTTTTCATATTTACTTCTCTTTTGAGTTTTTATGACTACTGCTCCAGTTGGTATAACAGCCGTCACTTGGTTGAGAGACCACATATTGGCCTGAAGCAACATATTCATCAGAAAAATGGTGATTTTAATTTTGCTCCTCTTATTCTTATGTGCTTTCCTTAGATTAACTGGCCACATAATAATGTGAAAAATCACTAAAAAGCAACAGAAAGAACTAATGAGGTACAATTTGCCAAACCTTCAAGCTTAATTCTATGTGGTTCCTGGGCTGCCAAAACCCTTTTTGTAGAAAGACACCAGGAATGGGTAAAATAGGAGCATTTGCGTGCAAAAGCAGCCATGTTAGCAGATGCAGGGTTGGTCATCCACTGTACATTTCCAGCTATTGTCAGCTTCTACACACATACTGCAGCAGCTAAGTTATCTGCAGACAGAAGAGCTGGTAACTTCCCACGATTTCTTGGTCAATTCCATCTCTTACTTCCACTTTACTTCTGGGGATTACATGCAGATCACATACCTGGCTACAGCTTCACTGTACACGAAACCAGCATCAGCTCGCTTTACGATTTCAAAACACAGATCTGCTCCATCCATACTGCAGAGAAATGTGAAAAATAATATTAGAAAAGAGCAACTTCCAAGACAACATTCAAGCGAACACATCAATGTTGGGAGCTGAATGACTACTGACAATTGTGCATTATTTAAACCCCCCTTCTTTCAATGAAAAGCACACACCAATTGTAGAAGGAATTATACAATTGTTGGAAATCTACAGAAAAATAAACTTTTATAGAGATTAAGCTAACAGAAATATCAAGTAACGCAGCTATCATAGTAGTAAGTCTAAGAAGAGAGCAACTCTAGAGGTGGTGTGTGTAATTTTTGAATTAAATTACCAAATTCTCTTTGTATTTTAAGAATACAAAGTCCTCCCCCCAACATTCTGTAATAGTTATCACCAATAAATGGGAAATTTAAATTACTTTTTGTGAAAGGAAAAAAAGAAAAAGTCAATACAGAATTTATTTATTTTACTTTCTATTACCCAAATAAATTACTACAGACACATCCTAACATACTGATGTGTTAGTAATACTCTGTAATACTACCTTGCCCTAAACCTTAAAATTTCTCAATTTCTCACCTTGGAGGTGAGATCTCTTCAATCTAATCTGCTCGTGACGTTTTAAGAAAATCAAACTCTACATAAACTGATCTTATTATTACTTTCTTAATATACCTTTCCTTTTTCCTGGCATATGCTTCTGTATATGCTTTTCCATATTTAAAACCTACCTTAATTCAAATTTTCATTCCATTCCCATCTACAAAGCTTTTAGTTGCTAAGAAACTACAGTCTGCACCATACCTTTTAGATTGCATGCACACACAGACAGACACATACTTGAAACTCAGGTAAGATTACTTATATTAAAAACTATTCAAATATTAACAGCTAATATTTTCATAATGCTCATGAAGTACTTTCAAATTCTGTAGGTCAGTTTTCAGTATAATTAGTGCAGGTAAAATATTGAGAAACAGAAATTCCTGGAATGGAAAGTCAGGGCACTCACACACTAGTATTATGTGATTTCATGGGAAGTAGTCTGTCAGATCTCCTTTCATACTTACAACTAAGCACCCATAAAAGTGTCAGTTTGATTCTTAAGTAAACCTAGTTAATGGATAGAGTAATGGTAACAGGACTCAAATCAGTCTGCTTGTGTTCATTGCTTTTCCCAGGGACTTACAATGAACAGCTGATTACATCATTTGTGTGCTTTTATGCAAATGAAACATTCCCATACTTATATGAGGTTTTTAAATTTTTTTTAATTTAAAATTGTTTTCATTTTACATACCAAATCCAGTGCCCCCTCCGTCCCCTTCTGCCGCCCCCACCCCCTATCCACTCCTTGAGGAGCCAACAAAGTCTGACATACCAAGTTGAGACAGTGTAACTAGGCTGACCAACAGAGAATGGGCTCCAAAAAAACCAGTTCATGCACCCAGATAGGTCCTGGTGCCACTGCCAGCCCCCCTACCCCAACAGATCAAGCCACATTCAGAGGGTCTAGTTCAGTTCCATGCAGGTTCCCCAGCTGTCAGTCCAGCGTCCGTGAGCTCCCGCTGGCTCAGGTCAGCTGTCTCTGTGGTTTTCCTCATCATGATTTTGACCCCCCCTGGTTCATATGATCCCTTCCTCTCGTCAACTGAACTCCGGGAGCTCAGTCCATTGCTTGGCTGTGGGTCACTGCATCTGCTTCTATCAGTTACTGGATGGAAGTTCTATGATGACAGTTAGCCTCGTAGTCATTAATCTGATTAACAGAAAGGTCTATTCTGGCACCCTCTCCACTAATTCTAGAAGTCTTAAATGTCATACTTCTTGGGCATTTTTCTTATCTTTTATCCCCTTGGGCATTTTTCAATGTCAAGTCAGATTCTTCAAAATGTTTATTATGATAAAAATTTGCGTTTTAAAAATTTTGTGTGTTCTCTTGTGTACTCAAGATTTGTGCACAACTCTGACCATGTTCTAGAAGAGATTTTTTGAGTGGGAGTATTTATAATAATACTTTTGCTATCTATACTGCCAGACACATTTTAACAATTCATACTGTTATTGTAGAGAGCCCTTTCCTCTACCATGCCCCACCAATGACTGCTCTTTCTCATCTTTGCCAGAGGAGGCAGTCATTTATGCCTGTTTTAATTTACATTTCCATGATTACCAGAAAAGCTGAGTATTTTCTTTCTTTATTTTTACTGTGGGGTAAAAAATGGCTGCAGTTTAAGTTGCTTAGTTGATCTATGAGAACTGACAAAATGAAATCTCACAGTGAGGAGTTTCTCCTATTTACGCATTTTCCATTTTCATTGAATTTTAGGATAAGTGCCATTCAAAAAGTTGGGTAAAGGAGAAAGCCAAATGGATCACATAATACAGAAATAAACAACTGAATCTGTCCTGAGGGCTAAAGGAAGACTTTTCAGATGGATCTAGGGCAGGAGAGGGGGGAAGGAGACGGTGCTGGGGAGGTGGCAAAGTGATTAGAGGTCCAAGTCTAAGAAGGGAATGATTCTGAGAAGTAACTAGGAATTACTTACCGACCAGTGCTATAGCTATCAGAACTGATCAATGCATTACTTTCTGGTCATATCTGAAATACTAGCACCTCCAATGACAATCTTCACACATGCACATACACACACAGGCTTTTTTTTTTTTGGTTTCTGTTCCATTTCACTGACTGGTCTATTCTTGTAGAGTATTATACAATTTTAAATACTATAATAGCATACTATAATATTTGGCAAAATTAAGCTTCACATTATCTTTATGAACTTTTTCTTCCAGTTAAAAAGTAAAACAATTTCGTGAAACTGTAAGATATCTTTATATTTTAGCTCAGATGGAATTATTTATATATTAACTTCCAGAATGTAATATTTTCTAATATTTTATCTCTGAGTAATATAGCCCTTATTTATTTTCATATCTCTAAGTCAGGACTTTAAGGGTATTTTTTATACTGATTTCAAATACTGATCATTAGTTTCTTCCATAGGTATTACGTCTATATGTGGCTAGTTCTCTTTTCCCTGTCTCACTCCCTTCCTTTCTTCTTTACTGTAGTGCTGAGGGTAGAAGTCAAGGCCTCAGACAAGCATTCCAATATTGAGCTACATCCCTAGCTCTGGTGTTTTAGTTATTAATAAAGGAGGTCTTTTGAATATTATATGTTTTTTAAATTCAGAGATTCATAACCAGGAGCACTGAACAAAAATCCCAGGTTTAACTTATTTTAAAATATGCAGGCATGTTTTAGGAAGGATTATTCAGCAAGAATGATGAGCATGAAAGAAAGCATCATTCTCTTCTTCTTCTTCTTCTTCTTCTTCTTCTTCTTCTTATTATTATTATCATTATTATTTTAGTTTATTCGAGACAGGGTTCTCTATGTAGCCCTAGCTGTCTTGGAGCTAGCTCTTGTAGACCAGGCTGGTCTCAAACTCACAGGGATCCACCTGCCTCTGCCTCTTGAATGCTGGGATTAAAGGCATGTGCCACCACCACTCAGCTGCACCTTTCTATTATTAAAGTCATCTGATTATTTATAACATAAGTAAAAGCAATGTACTAATTTTTAGTTTCATGAGATACAGAAGTAAAAACTAAAAATATTGTTATTTATGCAAATTTTATTCACCATAAATTTAATCTATACACATTCATAATATACACAATCCTGATGTAATAACCTTAAACATTTTAAACAAAACTGATGATTTGTTTCCTTTGGTACACTATTTGAAAATACAATACTTCTAAAAACAGTGAGAAAGCTTTTTACTGATCTTCTCTTTGCTTTCCCATCTTGGGGTACTTATTCAGCAGTTCATGAATCTTCAAAAAACAGGTTTTGTATTTTCCTAGCTGTCTCCTAAGAGTGTGAAATGAGAGGGAGAAGAAATCCTGTATGGAAAAGGATGGGGAGGAGATCTGTACTGCATGTGGAGAAAAACCGGGGGAGGTTTACTATAATGAATGACTTTAACTGCTCTTTCTTTGTCTATATGAATCATGAATTATTCATATAATTAAGAAAATGATCCAAAGTCAATGTCTCAAACAAAATAGGTCACAAGGTATGATTGTGTGTATTGTGAAAAGGATGAGAATATGCCACTCCCAGTTCTGCCACTCTGGCCTAAGGATGATTCTGAGCTGAAAGCACAGCACCAGACGTTATGATTTATACAGCCATTGCCACAGCAATTTCTACATATTTACAGTCAGTTTCTGTACCTGTCTCATAGCACGCCAACTTGTAAGAGACGGCAAGTTGGATTTGTATGCAAATGACTCTTTGAGGAACACTGCTAAAAAGGACAGACAAATTTCTCTGACTGGTACTTTTCCTGAATTTGACAGAAACAACTATAAAACCTAGATGAAATTTGAAAAAATATTTTACATCTTCAAAGAACAAACAGCACAGCGAGTTGAAACCAGAGAACAGACCAGAGCTCAAAGGCATGAGCAAGAAGAGCTGCGTCTGTCCTGGGCAGTGTGGGTGGTGGGTGGTGGGTGGTGGCAGGGACAAAGGAGGCAGCTGTGGGAGGACTCTTTGGGCAAACTATGAAGTGCCAGGGTCTTGATGCTTCTGCACCTGGCTGATCTAAGAGGAAAGACTGAGCTCTTGTTTGGCAGATGTCTGAAGAGCCTGTCAAAGGCTACACAGCTGTGTTTTGAAAATTGGAATATAGAGCACATTCTGCTGTGACATACTGCTAGCACAGAAAACCCCTAAATGCTTATTATTAATTACCATGTAGGTAAAAGGCGAATCTAGAAATTTCAGCCATAGCAAGCATTCAGGATATGTTTCCTGATCATAATGCACTTGTGCTAGAAGTAAATTAATAAATCAACAATAAAATCCCCACAGAACTTGTTAGTTGAAGATAGCATGCTCAGTAACTTATCATTCAAGAAATAGCTCATAATGGATGATTAGACAATATTTCTAACATCAATAATAAAGAGTAGGTGTCAAAACGTGTAAGATTGAGGTATTGGCC